CTTAGCAAAAAATGGTAAAAACATTATCAGCGGTTTGATCCAACTTTGCCATGATCATATCTTCTTGGGTGTTTTTGTAATCTCCGGATCTATAGTAAAGATCTTCTACTCACCAAACAACACATACTCAACACACTCTTAATCCCAGGTAAAGATTACCTCACCAAACAACACTAACACACTCCTAATCCCCAGGTAAAGATTACCTCACCAACCAACACATAACACACGCCTAATCCCCAGGTAAAGATTACCTCACCCACCAACCAACACATACACGCCTAATCCCCAGGTAAAGATTACCTCACCAACCAACACATAACACACTCCTAATCCCCAGGTAAATATTACCTCACCAACCAACCAACACACACTCCTAATCCCCAGGTGAAGATTACCTCACCAACCAACACATACCCAACACACGCCTAATCCCCAGGTAAAGATTACCTCACCAACCAACACACACTAAACACACTCCTAATCCCCAGGTAAAGATTACCTCACCAACCAACACATAACACACGCCTAATCTCCAGGTGAAGATTACCTAACCAACACACACTCAACACACGCCTAATCCCCAGGGCGGGGTACTTGTCTGGACTTTATCCGGGGTACAGGTGAATCTGTGCCAGTTTTCTTAAGACCCCCCTCTCCTTTCATTCCCCCCCCTCTCCCAATTGTCTACGAACTTTTCTTACGTCATTACGTAACATCAACGCAGCGAGAGCAGACGGCACCATATTTTTTCCCCTCTGCCCTTGTTTTTTTTCCCCTGCAAAATTTCTGAAATGTGCCTGTTGGTTCGATTCCGGTATATTGAGTGCAGCGCGCAGATCTAGGGTGGGCGTGGCAAATCCTGAACATATTTTACCGGAAGTTAGGATAGAATTCCCTGCAGTTTCTTTCATAAATTAGTTTACAGTGGCAACAAATAAAACGTTTCTGGGAAAACGAAACGAATAAAAAAAAAATGGAAAATCGCAAGATGTAAATATGCGGTCTTGCAGATGAAGTGGATTTGAGAAATGGGGTAGTGGGTTGCTATTTTAACAAGTTGTGACTGCTGGAATGGGATTGTCTGCTGTCTTTTTAAGATGTCATATCTGCTTAGTAATAAAATTAGAATAGATACAATTTTAACCGCTTTTTTTGGTTTATTGAATCTTTGGATATTTTTCCGTGCCTAAAAACTGATGACAATTATATGGCCCTTATTTTGTAAATAATGACGTAATTTTCATAGAAACTTCATCAATCAGCATTTTACAAATTTTGCGAAAAGTGAGAATGTTAAAAGTGTTAGAGCCTTTACGACTAGATGGGTGTGTAAAAAACATATCTCGGCTAAAAACTTGACTGACTTTTGAACAAATTTACTGTAAACATATCAGGTCGATGGAGAATGGACTAAACCGCTCGCATAGATAAAATATGTAAAACATGTCGGTCTCCGTACACATTAAGTTTTCGTATTTTAGTCGTTCTCGTTCCTAATCAAAGGGAAATAATAAACCAGAGACAGGAATCTATATATAAAATTCTCTTCTTGGAGACTATAGAAAACACCAAGCTGTAAGCGCGCTCGCTACCACTCCCACCCCTACATGGTCTGTTGAGCTGTGGTTCACGCTAAATGTTTACAATCGTAGAGCCGGGTTTAGTGATGGCTATTAGGGGCAGATAATGAGCTTGAAACGATTTTAAACTTAGGGGAGGTAACTAAGAGGAGTTTACTTTCACGGGGGGGGGGGGGGGTGTGGGGGAAAAGGAAGGAGGGTTATCGTCCTTGACGAGCTACTGATAATGCTTTAAAGCAAATATTTTCAGTGTCAGCGTTGGTACTGTCAAAGTCACAAATTATGAATTACTGAAAAGTAGAAAATAAAACAACTAAATAGCTGCATATGATACGCCGCGGGTCGGCTCGTTAGTATTAAAAAAAAACGGGACTGCAACGCTTACTGTCTTAAAAAGCTATTTAAAAAAGTTAGCTCATATCTAACGTCAGTTAAACTCATCTACTATAGCTCTTCTGTTTTATAAAGACTTTTTTTAAAATGAGTTCTTATATCAGAGATAGTTACATTTTTATAGTTTAAATATTGCTACCAACTTCAAATGCAACGATCGTTTTTTTGTTTTATTTAGAATTTATAAGTAATTTTCAAACTTTTTTCAGGTTAAATATAGCTGCCGACGATTTAAATATGCGATGCGTATCCCACTTTTCCGTGTTTAAATTTACTCGTACCTTGAGCCAGCGAACTCGATTTTTTGAGGTTACTGGGTTACATTGTACCCAGTCTCGTAACCGATGGGATATCTACAAGTTCGAGCAGTTAATGGTTAAACCGGATGAAGTTGGCCCAACCTGTTCGTTGAAAATGCTAAAATATTTGCGAAAAATTTATATCAGATGCAATTTTTTTTTCCAAAATATTTAAAAATATTTTGCTGCGTTTATAAAAAAAAATATTTTAAGCAGTCGAAGTAACATTTTAAATAACGATATGGATCAACGTGTTTATACAAGTGCGCTTCTTCCTTATCATTGTCTTTTTAAATCTCCCATCAATACATATTCTATTTAGATAGATCTTTATTTGCTCACCACTAACATAGACCTAACTGTAGGGTCTCACGAACATATTTAATTGCAAGCTTAATTAGAAAAATAGATGTTTTAATTAGTTTTATCAACACATGCCAAATGATAATAATACATTTTTGAAATTTTGCGTGTGGTTTTAATTACTTAATTAATAAGTTTGGTTTGCCTGTTAATTGGCTACGAGATAAGATATATCGAATAGCAGGTAGTTAAAATGTTGATGAAATAGCTAGATAATTTATTGACTACATTTCTATACTTATAATATCCCTTGTCAAGATATTGTCCATGTTCCAAGTCAATATACTCACTATATATTTTATCAATATATTCACCACATACCTTTTCAGTATTTTGACCACTTCCCTAGTCAATATATTGACCACAGTCCTAGTCGATGTTTTTAGAACACCCAGAGTCAACATACGGGTCACATCTTTGGTCAACATATTTCAAGCCAATGTATTGACCACACTGTGGTGATGTAATGTGTATGAAAGGTGAATGCGTGGAACGGATCACTGCGTGTGTGTATGTATCATGTAGTGAGACGCGAGGCCGGGTGTGTTGATGCGTATGTTGTTGTACGGAGTGAACGAGGGTACAAGGGAAGCGACTGGTCGGGTGACAGTGGCTGTGTTGTGAGCGGGAGAAAAGTGGTGTGTAGGAATGAATTCGGAGGACAGTTGAAAGTTGAAGTGAAAGCAGACAGGTTGATGTGGGACTAGGTGGCGCGTTTAAGAGAAATAAAGGATACTGTGATACCTAGCCTCAATCGTGTTGGTTGTGTATTCTTTGAGATCCTGACACCCTCACACACACCCTAAATCAAACATTGACCATACCATTTGTCAAGTTGGCGGCCACAATAATATTTTTCCCTTTCTAGGTCAATATACATAAAACATTATGTTCCATAGATTTCCCAAAACTATATTTAGTTGTCCAAAATCTGACCACAGACACATGTTGACCACAACACGAGTCAAGCTGCTGACCACACCTCAGATAATAACACCCCCGCTCTCCACGAAATCAAACCTCTACGAAAACCCCCATTCCACTGAAACAACACCTAGACGAAATCCCCAACAGGTGTTTTTCTTATCTACCTCTGCCCTGGCGAATACCAGACACCGGAACTCTTCTACCTGGAAAGGTTAAGGAAACACGATCTCGTTTGGGCTGGGGTTAAAGGCTATTGGAGTCTGGTCACGCCAAATACGCTGACTACGTGGGTTTAAAAATAAATGAAATTAATGACAGCGGATAGTTTTAAATAATTTGGTAATAATGTTTTAAGTAACACGCGGAGAATACGCCTCACCCTGTAACAAAAGTTATGCGCATGACAAGTTTTTTTTTGTAAATTGGCTGGATAATGTGTCGTGAATAGGTTAGCGTTAATTAAGCCGAAGAAGTGTAATTAGCAGATAGTTTAATTGAATTTAACCGAATTTAATTGAATGTAGCTTACTAAGTAAATGGGCAATTTAAGCTATAATTAAAATGAAAACAAAGAATAATAGAAGGTAAATATTAATTGGGGGAGGGTGGGGGAATCATGTAGGAAATGAAGGCAAATCAATGCAGGCAAATAAACTTTCTTATAATAAACATGCGATATTGTTGGCAAAAAACCTCTCCTATAATAAACGTAACACAATCTACCTTGTATTTGTAACGCATACTGAGTGTATAATATGCAATATTTAGCTTTCTAAAGTATGTATATATTATAACTTGTACGTAATGTCTGATTGCGATATGTCTGTAGTATGACCTGTATGTAATATGCAGCATTTACCCATATGTATTCTGTATGTATTTTAACTTGGCTGTAACGTTGCTATATGTTATGTATGAGGCATAAAACTATGTGTGGCCAATAAAAAGTTTAATGAAACAATGAAACAAAACTTTGAGTAGAAAGCTTATTTCGTACGCATATTATTTGAAAAAGATATCAAAAATAGAAAATAGGCAGACGGATCTTATACAGATTTTGATACTGTTATCTTCGTTTAAATTTCATTTAATTACAATAACAATTCCCTCTTTTGGTTGCAAACTTTCCGATTTTCACATTGTTTTCAATCCAAAAATGTTACATTTAAAAAAAAAACAACGTATTTTTCGGTGTAGCAACTATGAGCTTCACCGACTCGACCACGCCGACCCCTAACGTATTTTCAGATTTCAAGACTTTGACTTTGTCGTCATAACACAAATGGCCAGATTTTCACATAGATGTGAAACCCAAAAAGTTTACATTTTTTAAAAACGTATTTTCAGATTCAATATTTTGACTTGTCAACACAAGTGACCAGATTTTCAAGAGTCTTAAACCAAATAGTTTACATTTTTAATAACGTATTTTCAGATTCAAGATTTTGACTTCGCTGACAGTGAAAATGTCGCCAAAGTTGTAGTCAAACGGGCCTCATCCCTGTCTGATGATGAAGATTTACTGATGGCCGATCCGACGTCGACACCGGAAGACGACGCAGAGGGGAGCGGGACAACGACGGTGGACACTACAATAACTACAACGTTCACCGTGCCTTTGCTACCCTATCAGCCGCGTAAGTAATTATCTTAATGGCCAAGTGTTTTACATTAAACGGTGATATGCATGGAGATGCCGCATAGTCTAGTCCAGGGGTCTCCAAACTACGGCCCGCGAAGTCCTCTCATCAGGCCCGCGGAGATCTTTTTGTCCAAGGAAAAATCGTTTGTTGGTGTTGGCTGAGGAACTTTGCCCAGCAAAATCAAGACATGACTGGAAGGAACTGGCCCCCGAACTGAAATTTGATAGTTAATGCGGCCCTCGGACTGAAAAGTTTGGAGACCCCTGGTCTAGTCAATCGGTTGTATTATAAACATTGGCGTCACTATGTGGGGTGTCACTGTGGGTGAACCCCCCCCCCCCACACACACACATACACGCGTGTTTGACATTAAACAGTGATATGCACGGAGATGCCGCATAGTCTAGTCAAATGGATATGTATGATAATCGGTTTTATTATAAAAATTGGCGTCACTATGTGGGGTGTCACTGTGGGTGACCCCCCCCCCCACCCCCAAACTAGCCGAGAGGTGCTTCAAAATGTATATTACTATAACTAGATTCTAATCCAAATTCACAAAACTTATTCCCTCCGTCAAAATGGATTTTAAAAACAAATTCGGTGTCACCCTCTTCTGAATGGTGTTACCCCGATGAGGTCCGCAACCTTCATCCCCTTCTTGTAATTTTATTTTCAAATGGGGAGGTGTTGATTTGTTGAAAAGTTAGCCCATTGGAGAAGTTTTTTAAACAAATAATTTACTAGTCAACGTTTGTTATCCACTGGATAACGGTTTGTAGACAGGCAATCACACGGCAAAAGTCGCATCAAAATTTCAAAACCTTTCGATTTACAACTGATTTTGATTATAGATTGTTATCATAGTTTTTTTTAAATGTTAAGGTCTAAATAAACACACAGAGAATATATATATATATATATATATATATATATATATATATATATATATATATATATATATATATATATATATATAGGGTTTTAGTAGTATTCGGGTCGATGGGTTGACGTCCGACTTCTGTCTAGGCTTTATAAAATTTTATTATGTACCTCTAGTAAGTCTAAGCTTATATGAGGTGTGTCCAATGCTGTTTTCTGAGCCAACACAGTTATAAACGATACTTGACATTACCCTCCTCTTACTGCCGCTTCAAGAATAGATGTGTACCTACAGTTACTTAAGTTTCCGCTCCAGACCTAAACTTACCTTCCCTGATTCCATTTAAAACTTTACTTTTAAATTTTTATTCAAAATAATTTTCTCACCCGTTTGGCTAAAAATAGACTCGTAGAAAAAAAATAATTGAGACAGCCTATTTTTAGAAACAGCTTAGATCATGCAAATTTTAAAATAAAAAAAAATTAACGGAATGTTGCAAATCGTCCTCTAAGGGAAAAGTTTTTTGTAAATAAACAATCTTTTCGACGCCATAGTCATTTATTTCTGGCATACTCTCTCGTGGGTTTAAAAAAAAAAAAAAGCAACAGTTCACGTTTGTAATTAGGTGTGAATGCCAATTAACCTCTCTCCCCCACGGCCTGAAAATTCCACCATATGCGATATTATTTCCGGTTCAAAAAAAAAGTTGCGCTCGGGTGATTAGAAATCCTTTCGTCTTGTGGCCTAAGATGAATTAAAGGAAACGGTTAGCTAGCGGTTTGTGAAGTAAAAGTTGAAAAGTGTTGAAAATCGAGAAAGATACTGCTGGGTGTTGATAAAGTCTCTACTGTGTGACCGTTCTTATACTAGACGTGGTTTAGGGTTCGAATACCGACAAGAATTTTAAAAATATACTCATCTTACCGGTCTCTCTGAGCTGACTTAGCTTTAATTGGTACTCAAATTTCAGGACAATTACGGCCCTTGTGCTTGTTAAACTATGCACGTGTTAGTCGTTGCTACGGGACTGCGTGGTCGAACGGTAGAGCACACGACTGCTAACCCTAAGGTTTCGAGTTCGGATCCTGGGCTCGTGTCCGTATGAATACCAGAGTGTAACCATCTCTTAGGGATATCTGATTTACGTCAATTAAAGGCGGCTGGGCCTAGTGCCGGCTTCATATGCCGGGGTCACAGAAACAGGTGAACTCTTGTTTACCTGCCCCATGGACCGCCAACTACCCTTTGGTATAACATACCCTAAATTCAGTGTCGCTATTTGAATGCTGTTTTTATATTTAGATTTGAACTGTATTTTTGCAATAAACTATTAGGTTAAATTAAAATCCTAATGTTAAATTAAATATGAATTTGCCTATTATGTAACAAGTTTATAGCTGTTTAATGACTTCATCTCTGATAATTAAAATAATTGCTTTTTTTAACATTGAGAAAATTAAAACAAATAGGAAATGTAATTGTTAAAACTGGAGTTTTCGTTTCACCCAACACCTGTGCACTTTCAATTTTCTGACTTCCGTTTCCGTCAATAGCGGGCAGGTTTAGTTACACTTGTCGCTTGAGCAAACGGTGTCGTTAATTGCCGGGCGCCTGGGAAAAAAGTTCCCCATGTATTCATTCTCTAGCGGTGTTTGATCGCGTTGAACAATGGCTAGGTCCCACAGCTGTGGTTTCTTGTGTTGGTTTTTGTTTAGAAGTTAGGATGCGTCTGTGGTAAGATGTGAAAGTTCAATTAGCGGCTTCTTGCAATCTCATTCATGTTTTCGGTACAGTTGGGTTTTTGCCGTACCAAAACAGAGGATTACAGTAAATGCTGGGGTTAGGTTCCAGGTTAGGTTCGTGGTTAGGTTCGAGATCAGTGTTTCTTTCAGACTTTTAACTCCCGGGGTGAGGGGTAGGGGGGGGGGGGAGGCACTTGAAATGGGGGGGGGGGGGGGGGGCGGAGACTGGTAAAAGTACATATTTTCTATATAAATTCTATTTCGTTCGGAGACGGCGGAGGGGGGCTAAAAGTTAAATCTCTTCGGGTCATAGAATATGGGAACCCTCTATTCCTTCTAAGCGGTTTAACCTACGCTCAGACAGACCAAAACAGAGGGTAGAACTGAACACTTTTCATGCCCATCTTGCTAGGCTCTAGACCCGTGGCTTTTTAGCCGTGCATTTGCAAAATGTCATGCAAATTTAACCGATTTCTACCTCCCCCCCCCCGCCCCATCCCTAATCGATACATATGGTCCCCTAAAATGACATCACAACGTTCTACATACCCCCCTTCCAATAACTATAATACTGAAGAAAACTTCGGCACATTTTTTTTTAAACCCCTGCTCTTCACTCACGTAGTTTTCTTGTTACAAATGTTTGAACAACCCCCCCCCCACCCATCTCACCTAGGTGTGTGACTTCATTTATGGACAACCCCCTATGTTTTTATTCATCCCCCACTACGCCCCGTTTAATTGAGTGTCCACAGCCCAAAAAACCAACGTACTCTCTGCACTAAATGTTGCTATTTATAAATGTACACGACTTTGTTGGGACTCTTTGGATCTCGTTTGTGTAACCCCCCACACAAACATCCAACCAAATGGGATCTTACAGCTAGCCGGTGCTAAAAGGGTTAAGGCGTATCCAGTACCGCTCGACCTACTGTTTGATAATGACGCTGGTACAGAAATAAAATAAATACCATACACGCCCAATGTAGGCGGAGTGATACATCGTTCAGGGACTACTTTTTCTACATGTTTTTAATGAAGCAAACAGAAAGATACATATTTCAACTCTTTAAACAAAATATAATTATAACTCACTTTACACCAACAACAACAATTTAGGCGTAACGTTTTGGTATTTAAAAACACAACAGGGGGCGTCCATAAAGGACCAGTGTTTCTTCCAGACTTTTTTCTCCGGGGGGCACTTGAAATTTTCGGGGGGGGGGGGGGGGCGGTAGACTTTCTTCGGGGGGCGGACACTGTTAAAAGTATAAATTTTCTATATAAATTATATAAATTTCATTTCGTTCGGGGGGTCGGTAAAAAAATTTCGGGGGGGGGGGGGGGCAAATAACTTTTACCAGTGCCCCCCCCCCCCCGAAGAGATGCCTGGAAGAAACTCTGTAAAGGACGTCACACTCGTAGGGGGGAAGGGGGGAGTTCCGTAATTTTGTGACGGTGTGTGATTAGGGGGGGGGGGGGGGTTCAGATGGTGTGATGTCACACTTTTGCATTATAAAAAAGCAATATTAGAAAACGAGTTTTAGCGTTATTTCGCGTTTTAGAAAACGGTTTTAACAAATTGTAATAGGAATTGATTAAAATACTCTAGAAAAATATCTACGTTTTACGAAAAATTCAACTGCAATTTTGAGAGGGGGGTGTTGTAGGCTAAGGTGTGATGTTATTTTAAGGGGGGGGGGGATGGTCTGGCTTTTTGTGACGATGTGTATAATTCACAAGCATGTTCAATTCCGCTTTGGTGTCACGCCATTGCGAATGTCGGGACACGGCAAAAATCAGGGCTTGGCAAATAAATATCAGAACATGCGAATCTCAAAATACGACCAATATCAGGACACCCTTCTTTTGCGGCTAACTCATGAAGATTAACTGGTTATTGCCCTTTGCTCCATGCCCAGCCATGGCTAGTTACGGTACTTGATGTTCTCAATGAAAACGTGGCAGGTAATTACTTCCTGGACCCTAAACAAACACCCTTGACCTTGGCCTAGTTGATTTTATTTGGTGGAAGTTTTTTTTTTTCTATTCGCTATATATTTTTGGTACGTTTTACCAGACATTACAACTACTACCTAGTTAGTGTCAGGGCTATGATTAGGCTAATTATCTTAGTAGTTTAGAGGTATAGTTGATTTAATTTTTTAAGTACCCGATAGATATTGCGTTATTAGCTTGAGACTGACTGATGTCAGTTATGCCCCTTATCACCTTAATAATAGAAGGTCTCTGCGGTTAACATAGAAAAGTACTGTTGTTTGCATAGAAAAGTACAGTTAACATAGAAAAGTACTGTTGTTAACATATACAAGTACTGTTGTAAACATAAGGGATGTGGTTAATATAGA